GCTTGCTGCTCTTTATGCCAGGCTGTTAAATACCAATTATTTTCCAATTACTGCTTAAAAACCCGTGTGTGTTTCTACACAAATGGATGTCTAGGGCAAGGAGACAGGAAGGATACAGGTCTCCAGGGTAGCCTGTGGCACCATCTCTTCCTGGCTGCACGTTTTACAGGTCAGGGTTGTTCTCCAGCCCAAAACCCACCTCTTGGAATGAGCCCACCAGGTCCTCAGTGCTCCTCTTCCCTCCAGGCTGCAGCCCAAAGGACCAGTGCTGAGCCAAGCAAATCCCCACGGACAGCACCACCAGCAGGACACTGGCAAAGATCTTCCTGGACTTCTCCATCCTGGGAGAGGGAAAAAAAAAAAAAAAGGCATCTTTTTTATCATCAAGGCATTCCAGCTCCGTTTTTACCTTGGAGAGTGATGAAAACGCTGCATTTCTGGATCACAGGCTCGTGGAATATCCTGATGGGATGGAAGGGACCCACAAGGATCATCAAGTCCACCCCAAGAATCCCCCTCCTGTGCCTGTGCTCTGCAGTTCTGATCTGCACCTCGTGCCTGGGCCTGAGCCACAGCTGCCTTGGGAGCCTCTCAAAGTAGGGATTAACTCCCTGTAAAGGGATTTGACATGAGAAGAATTTGGATGGAGATCTGAATTAGGATTCTGGAGCAGCCTCTCAGAGTTTGAGGCATGTCTGGACCTCCCAGGTCCCAGGCAGGTCCCTGTAGGGTTTGGGCAGATGTGTTCAGTTCCTGCTCTGATGTCCCTGCTCCTTCAGAACTGCTCTTTGCAGTCTCTTCTGATCCGAGTTTCCTCTCCTGTCAGCTTCTGTAAGCACTGAATAAGTAAAAAGGGAAGATGGGATGTTGCTCAAGCACGTTACCTGCTGCCTGAGAGGGGTTGCAGAGGAACTCCAACTCTTCCTGGATGGAAAACGTCCTGTGACTGTGGCTGTCACCTCCCTTTTATACACCAACCCCCTCCCAGCAGGTGACTTCATCTCATTCTGCCTCCCAGGCTGCGATTTTGGTGTTAAAATGACTGTGATGCAGCCCAAGTAAAGCCCATAATTGGAGCCCCCCCGTGTAGCTGTTAAATTCAGCTGTTTTCTCTCAGAGCCATAAAAGTAACAGCCTGGCTTTTAAGAGCTTGTAAATGTGACATTCAAGCCCAGCTGACTGCTGGGAAATGCAGGAGCTGTCCTGTCAGTGGCTTCTGATTCCTAAGGAGAAGATTTTGGGTGAGTTTGTGTTTGGTGAGGACTCAGGATGGGTGAGGAATTCGGTCTGTAAGAGTCACAGGGTGGTTTGGGTTGGAAGGGATGTTAAAACTCATCCAGTGCCACCCCCCTGCCACGGGCAGGGACATTTTCCACCAGCCCAGGTTGCTCCAACCCGGCCTTGGGCACTTCCAGGGGTGGGGGATCCAAAAGCTGAGACACATCTGAAGGCAACAGCCCTTGGGTGCCTGAACAGGAGCCTGGGGTGGCCCAAGTGGACAGAGCAGCTGGAGAGCTCCTTGGAAATCCTCCTCCTCCAAGTTCCAGTTGAGGTGCCTTGATATTCTTTGCTCTGTAAAATGCAAATTGGTGTCAAAGTGATCGAGTGGAGGAGTCTGTTGGATTGTAAATGTGCTTTGCTGGCACAAAGGAGGGAATAGGACTCCAAAGTGCTTCTTACAAGGGATGGAGGGGCAGGACACAGGGAATGGCTTCAAAGTGCCAGAGGGAAGGGTTAGATGGGATATTGGGAAGAAATTCCTCCCTGGGAGGGTGGGGAGGCCCTGGTACAGGTTGCCCAGAGAAGCTGTGGCTGCCTCATCCCTTGAAGTGTCCAAGGCCAGGTTGGAGCAACCTGAGCTAGTGGAAGGTGTCCCTGCCCATGGCAGGGGGTGAAATGAGAAGACCTTTAAGGTCCCTTCCAACCCAAACCATTCCATGTTCTCCATTCCTTGGAGTTTGTGCAGGTTTCTGAAGCAGCCAAGAGCTCTTTGCGTGCAGGAGTTAAAGCCAGTAATCCTGGCTGCAGGAATGGGATTGTTTGGGGCTTTTTTTGTTTTATTTTTTATTTTTTACCCACCTGGCAGCCTTTCTGCATTGCTCTGAACTGTCCTGGTGCCATTTGAACGTCTCATGTTCCCTGTTCTCCAAACATCATCCCCTGTTCCAGCTCCCGTGACCTCTCAGAGCTTTTTAAAGGGATTAAAAGTAATTTAATGAGTAAATAATTGAAGGAGGATTTAGTGACTCTTAGCAAAGAGTCATTCTTCCTGCTCTAATGCTCCTCCTACTCGTGGCCAGAGCAGCCAACGTTGAACTCCAGCTGATAAAAATGGATCAAGCTGTGAAAATAGTTGGTTTCCAGTGGGAGAAATTGTTCCTCTGCCGTGGGCACGGGGGGGTTTTCCTGGGAGGCTTTGGAGGCTCCTTCCTTCCCTGATGAGCCTCGCAAAAATTAAGGTTATTTAGAGGTAAATAGGAGATTTTGGTGATCCTGAGGGATGGCATTTTAAGAGAGAAGGGACCCCTGCTTGATAAGCCCCTTAAAGGGCGTTAAAAATAAGATCCCAGCCGGGTTTTGTTTGCCCACAGAAGCTTTTGCAGCCCCAGGCAGTGGAAAACACCAAACTGCTCAGATTTGGGGTGATGGAGGCGTTTCAGAAGAGCTGCCAGAGCTCCAAGTGCAGCAGTTTCTCTGCTCTGGGGAGGGAAATCTTCCTGCCAGTCCTGTTTGGTACTGACATGGAAGTCAAGGAATTGTCCAGGGCCTAAAGGGGCTCCAGGGGAGCTGGAGAGGGACTTGGGATGGAGGGACAACAGGTAATGACTTCTGCCTCCAACTATTTTATCAAGCAAAGAGGAAGGGTGGGGATAAAAAAGCTGAAAAGTATAGAAATTAATTAATAACAAATCAACACCAAACCTCATGAAAATCCCCTAAATTAATGTATCAGAACCACTGCAGCAACCCCCACAAGGTACATTTGGTTTTTTTCCAGCAGGTAAAGTTTATGCTTCGACCCCAAAATTCTTGCTGTCAGGTAAGATTGGGGTGGTTTATTTAAATGAAGGCGACCAAGGCATTTTTTCTCTTTCACACTTTTATTAATGCAACTTAAATTAGGCTGGAAGTTCTGCACAGGCCACTTTGGGCTCCTCATCCAGCTCTGTGATAGCAAAAGAGGTACCTTAAGTTCAGCTGTGAATGATGATGCCACGTGCTGTGATTATTCAGCAGTGCTCCAGTGAAAGTTCAAATAGATTTTTATACACAGTGATTATGAAAATAGAGTATTTTTCCCCCCCATACAATATTTTACTTCTGCCAGCTACAAAATATGATAAAGAAAAATAATTCATTTATTTCTCTAGCCCTAGGAATCTTCTTCTACTGCAACACACACATCACTCCCCTCTGAAAGCCTTGAGGTGGGAGAAAGGACTCCAAAATCACACTGGAATATTTCCCTTCAATCTATAGGTCACTTCACCAAGGATATGGTGGTGTCCTAGAGCCTGATCCAGAGGGATCTGGAGGGAATAATCCCAATTCTGAACCACATGAGCCCGGGATTTTGAGTCCTGGATGTTCATGTCACACGCCTGAGTCGAGCCAACTTGAAAATTAGGGAGAATCCTGCAATTCCCCCCTCCCCAAACCAATCATATCCTGATCCAGAATAATCACTGATCTTCCCAGATTGGTGGCAAAGCAGCATTTTTTGGAACAAACAAACTGAGACAAGAAGCCTGGAGGACAGGAAATTGCACTGCAAAGTGAGACACAACCCACTGAGGAACTGTGGAACTCCAACTCCTGGGACACTCCAACCACTCTCCAAGTTTTGGGATCCACTGGTTCTTCCTGTGTATTTGTACTGTAACAGCTGTATTTCCTTAGGATTCAAGGTGAGTTTGAACTTTGGGGTGGTTTTAAGCATCTGAGGTAAGTTCTTGCTGCACCTTTTTCTATTTTTTTGGTATAGTTTCTTCGTGTGCTTTTTGATTGTGTCTGAAAAGAAATGTTAGTTGAGAAAACTACCCAGATCCTGCAGCTCCTTTGCTGAGGGGCAGCCCCACAGGAAGGGAGGCTCACACAAAAACCAGCTTTCCCTGCTTTTTTCCACAGGTAAAGGAAGTGTGGAAGGGGCACTTGGCCCCAGGTAAGATTCTTTTACAGCCACTTAAGCAGCCCAAAGTGGATCTGGCTGGGAAATGGGATTATGCCCGTGCTTTCAAGGAGGATTTGCATAGTACACTGAGGGGAAACAGGGCCATTTCTTCATCTCCTGAAGGGATGAGAGGAGGGGAGAGCAGGTGCTGTGGCCCCAGAGCTTCTCTCTGCTTTGGGGACACTTCTGTGTTTGCCTCTGTACGTTGAATTCCCAACAAAGAAGGAAAAAGCTACAGGAACTCCAGTCTGGAGTGGCCAGGACATGTGGAAGCAGGGGAGTTTTTCTTCCCAGCTGGGATTGATAGTGCAATTCCACACTCATTTGGAGAGGATTAACTAAGACAGCCCATTTCTGCCAGGGATGTTCCAGGGGTAACTCAATCCAGGCTGTGGGCAGGTCCCTGCAGGGGCAGCAGCTTCCTCTGCACATTTGAGGGGATAAAGCTGCTCTAAACCTGCACTCCAACTACTCCACAGCAATTTAGGACCTCTGAGGACAGTTCCCCACTGTTTCCACCCCAGCAGAGACCTGAACACATCCCGTGGGCACTGTGTGACCACCCCTGGCATTAACACCCTGCAGGAATGAAGACACTGACTGTAAATACACTTGTCTACCTGTAAACCT